ATGATTGCTAGGTGACCAATCCCGAAGCTCAAGACAGAATTCCGGACAGATTTACATGTGCGTGTTGTGGCGCACCTCAGCCCACCGAAAGTATCGAACAATCCACTAAATTTTGAATCAGCGAACGACATTGGATTGAAGTGTGCCCTACTTACCAGCTTAGTCCTCCGCACAGCGCCCATTACTGCAAGTGCTTGGTCTGCTGACAATGTTGAATTGGTGGGTATGCCAGGGAACAAAGCTCGCTCCGGTGGCCAAAGTCTGAACCACCGGTAAAAAATCATTGAAGAATTCGCTAAAATCTCTTTGACTTGCGCGAGCGTTGAAGAGCTCAAAGTATTCATCCGAGTTGGCTTGGAGAAACTCATCCTGAGCATTCCATACATGACGTCGGTAAGGGGGACACCCTGACATCTGTATCGCTGACATGTCAGTTAAGATGGATATGAAAAAAACGGGGCTCGTACAATGGCTCAAGGTGGACGGTAATGATAAGGATCGATTTTGGTAAGGACGATTTTTATTTATGGGCCACCAAAGAACTCGCCCATAATCATGTGATCATACTCTAGAACTACATAGGCAATTTTACAATGTCTGACATAACAGAGCTCGACGGCTGTACTTTGATACCAAGTCCTCGTCTACCTCACTCACAGCTGCATAGCACCATAGTTCTTCAGTAGCCGCAACAATGAGTTTACACCGGCACACAGCCATCAACGCGATCGTGATGAACGGAGGTTGTGTAACGTAGATACTCTTCAATGTGGCCCAATGTCTCAAGCCGTTCAGACAGGGTATCCAAAACCGCTTGTCGGCCATGTTCAAAAGTTATATCACCATTCATCGGACAGTTTGTCCAGCTGAATGCATGCCCTGAGCTTGGACTCGACATCTTCGACACCAGTCTTTAGTGGGGGCCATAAGTCAGTAGGTCTAAATATGTTCATCGAAACAAATTCATACATAGCGTGCACCATTGGCTAGCTGGACAGGTTCAGACTGGATACTCTGCTTAGCACCAATAATTCGTATCCTTATTCCTGTATGAGGTCTGTTACTACTACCCGTAAATTCAGACCATTGAATATATACGCACCTGTGATAGTATTGCCGTCTGGATGCGCGTGCAGCTTCAGTACGCTCTTCTTGAGTTTTATGCAATTGAGGACGGCCCATGACTACTCTACAGTAAGACATAAGTCAGTGATCAGTGAGGTCTGAATACATTCATTGAAGAAATTTGTACGGACTCATCTGTGTTGCTCTTCTTGAGTGAATTGCGTAAACTCTGCTTAGCAGCATTACATCGTTCCTTATTCCTGTATGAGGTTTGTTACTACAATTCAGACCAAGTGGATATTTACGCACCTCTGATAGTATTTCCGTCTGGAAATGCGTGCAGCTTCAGTACTCTCTTCTTGAGTTTTGTGCAATCGAGGACGGCCCATGACTACTCTACGAGTTCACTGTGAGTTGGAGATTTAGTACTGGGTTGGAGATTTATGATAGATTTACAATACCCTAGGACATCAACTAGGCCGTGGATTTAGCAAAACCGGCACTTCTCGCTGAGTCTAGTCTATACAGTCTTGTTCTCAATGAGATTCGCACTGAAACTAAACAACCCCCTCGAGCACTTCTGGTACCATTCATACATGGTATTGTGCGCCTTCTCTAGTGACTCCCAGTCCGCGTCATATCTAGTGACTCCCAGTCCGTGTATCTCGCCTCCCAATGGTATTGTGCGCCTTCTCTAGTGACTCCCAGTCCGCGTCATATCTAGTGACTCCCAGTCCGCGTCATATCTAGTGACTCCCAGTCCGCGTATCTCGCCTCCCAAGGCAGCGGGACATGATCCATCGAACGGGCTCTAGTGAAGAACTTGACACTGGTGGCACCCATTATTTCCGCGGAGCGTAGGAAGATGGTCGCAATGGAAGGGGAGCGTAGGAAGATGGTCGCAATGGAAGGGGAGCGTAGGAAGATGGTCGCAATGGAAGGTAGGTTGAGGCTGGTATGAGTAGCGTCGAATGCGCGGATCTGAGCTTACATAGAACCTCGAAGTGTGTCAAAAACGCCGTTCAACGATGCCACTCATTGTCACTCCTTATTTCTCATCAAAATTCACACTGAAATTCATGGCAGCCAAGCGCGATCATATTGCACACAGTAGAAACAACTTGGAAGGCTTCAAGAAACATGTTACATACAATGCATACATTAGGGCAATATCTCCGTTTCACCGCGGTCGATTGCCGCTTCCATCAACTGGATGCCTTCGGCTACTGAGCGCACCTTAGAAAATGAGGCCCTGCTCACGCCAATAACATGGGAAGAAGTCTGCTGCCTGTTGGTGAATCACTAGTCAGTAAGTGTTAATTTGAAAATAAAACGATGCAAATTAATTACCAAGTGGAGAAGATGCCAATGCGGCGTCCACGAGTCACCCAATAGAAGGGTCCCATAGCATCGTTTGGAGGTATGTCGTAGGTCACATTGACCTGAGGCTGGGTGACGCCTGACGTCGCGGGAGAGACAGTGACAGCTGGGGCAGGCACTGGAACTGGAGTTGGCGCTGGTGTGAGTGGAGCTGAGGCTGTAGGTGGTATGGGCGCTGACACAGGTGGCACAGTGACACCTGACGTTGCAGGAGAGATGGTGACAGATGGGGCAGACACCGGAACTGGAGTTGGCGCTGGTGTGAGTGGAACTGAGGTGGTAGTGGTGGAAACAGTGCTGATGGCAGAAACAGCAGCGACCAATGCGTTCTGCACCACACCGTGGATTGTGGAGGTCACATCGGATGCCTGCTTCCCAGTGATGTTCAATTGCGCCAAGAGCGCAGCAAGACTATCTGTAGAATATATGGTCAGGATTAGAGCGCACTTGAGGACACTTTTGCTTACCAGTACAATTGCCAGTACCATTACCACCAGCAATGGGCGCCGCAGGCACAGCATCTATCGTGCTTGTGGAGGTCATCGTTGGGTGTAAATAGTAGGCGGAGAATTAATATTGAAAATTGGGACTCACCTGTATACACAATTCTGGCTTTTGTACTGGGAATGCCGTCTATATCGAGTCATGGAAAAGCCACCCAGTGCGTTGCAGCTCATTCGTTGCAGTTCGATCAGAGTTTACCGGCTCTTCCCATGCATGCAGATCACATCACGCAAGCCAGCATGTACATTACACATGCATTTCACATGCATTACACTTTGCATTACATGTGCATTACCTTACACGTGCATTACACGTGCATTACAGGTGCATTACTCTTTGCATTACGCGCTTCACCTGTTCCTCCCATTACCTTTGCAAAGTTTGCATCACTCCGCATTCTTGTCTGTATGGGTTGATTTTGTTTGTTGTTCTCCCTAATAAGACTATTCTACAGATTATCAAGCTCACCCTCCTGCGTGTGTTCACTGTTGGCAGCGTCCACATAACATCCTAGATGGCCTCTGCCCAAGGTAAGCACATGTTGGCTGCTCATGAACTATATCTGACGCTATTCACTAGATGACACCTCTCAGTGCCAATCTCCCAGAGCAATCCAGGCAGTTACTTTGCCTTGGACCTTTTCACAAGTCAACAGCCGTAAACGTCCCAGATTAAACGTGTATACACCGACGTCCACCTTGGAGCCCCAGAAGCCTGTGCATGCCTCGGTCACATTTGCTGCACGTCGAGATGGAACGATGCATGTGTCGGGCCGGCATGTCATTGGACAGAGTTCGGCTGCTGCTGTCCTGAGCACCTCACCTGCAGAGCATGAGGATACGTCCTTTAACTTTTTGGAGCCCAATGATTTCTTCACCATGGATGCCATGGATGGAGTCATCACCAACGATATGGATTATGGAGTCGTCACCAACGATATGGATTTGCTGCAGACGCGGAAGCGGACAGCTGGTGTAAGTCTTATCACCGTCACATTTGTTAACATTTCGCTGATTTCGGCATAGGACCACCCCCTTCTCACTTGGTTAGACGAGCGCGAAAGCTATCTTGCGGAGATGATCCGGCTCGATGGTCGTGGGGATGCTGGCAATATGTGTGCAGGCTGTGGTACTGCTCCTGCATTGGTTCGATGCGAGAGCTGTGATGATTCACAAATGTACTGTCACGGCTGCACTGTCACTAACCATTTGTGCTTGCCCACCCATCGCATCGACGAGTGGACTGGTGTGTGTTTCCAGAGGACGTCACTCAAGAAGCTAGGCCTTCGTATTCAACTCGGACATCCTATTGGCCAGCGCTGTATCCTTCCCCATAAAGCCTTCAATGATGACTTCGTTATCATGGATACGGACGGTATACACCAGGTTGGACTCGACTTTTGTGGTTGCGAGACTGCGCAAACACATACGAAGCAACTACTCCGAAATCGATGGTTCCCGTCCACCTCAACTGACCCCAGGACCGCAGCGACCTTTCGAGTACTACGACAGTATCATATCCTTTCATTTGAGTCGAAGGCATCTGCGTACGAGTTCTATCATACACTCGTTCGCTTGACAGATAATACGGGCTTGTCAAATCGTAAGGCAGTGGGTGCTCTTTATTATCTCAGATGTTCTACAATGCTGACCTTCAGATTTAGGACCGCTATGAAGCATTTATGAGAATGGTGCGCGAATGGCGCCACCTGAAGATGGTGAAGCGCTTTGGTCGTGGTCACGACCAAGCCGGTGTTAAAGCTACATCGCCCGGAGAGTGTGCTATTCTATGTCCAGCATGCCCACAGCTGGGCAAGAATCTGCCTGACGGTTGGCAAGATGTCGGGAAAGCCAAACGGTATGTGGCAGGAACTCAATGGTTTCAATTAAAGGCTAACGTGTTAAGGTGGCTATATGCAATTTTTGTTGCAATAGACGCGAATTTTCGATTGAAGAGACGCGATGTTTCGAATGAAGATGTAGACCCCAGCCTTTCAAAAGGCTGGGCGTATTTCGTGGAAGAAAAAGGATACAAGACCTTCCTGGCCCAACACCTCGGAGATGAGCAGGAGGTACGTGGTTGATGATATTAACCCGAGCCCATGCTTATTCACACCACCCTGCAGAAAAGCTCATGTTCAAATCACAATGCCGTCAACATGGCTGATACGAAGCTGTCACAAGGGCTCGCAGCTACAGGTGTGGGCACGATCGATTGCGCCCGTCATAACATGAAACGACCAAACGGAGTCGGAGATTTACAGAAAGGTGAAAAGTATGTTATTGTCTTTGCTTGTTGGTGTCGTGTCTCATCATGCATTCACACAGATACCTCAACATGGACTATCTGTTTTTTTCGACCTTACGCAGTACACAACTCCAAATGTTAAATGTTTCGTACAACATCGCGTGCCAATGGCACAAGAACCTCTGGGCGCGGATGAAATCATTTCCTCAATCCCACAGTTTGGACTACCTCACAAAGGTGATTCGATTTTTCGTGCCAAAGTTTCATCTCCCCGCACATATCGCAAAGTGTCAAACACTTTTCTCGTTCAACTTTACGCGTTTCGTCGGCCGCACAGATGGTGAGGCCCCAGAGAGAGGGTGGTCAAATATTAACCCCATGGCCTCGAGTACGAAGGCTATGGGCCCTGGCTGCCGTCGTGACACCCTGGACGACCATTTTGGGGATTGGAACTGGAAGAAAACAGTTGGGTTGGGCGCCTCTCTCCTCCTCAAGATCAAGGACGCCCTTGCTGAGAGGGCCGAACACAAAATGGCATTCGAAGAATTCGACACCGCTATCACTCCCGACCACCGTTCTGCGTGGTTGGCAGAAATGGAGGTTTGGGAGGTCAATCCCAATGACACAACTGTTTTTAATCCGCTCGAGGCTAAAGCTACATGTGAGTGCGGTATTTTATTCTACGAGCCTCGTACTAACAATCATTTAGCCATCACGCAAGCAAGTGCACGGCTTAAGCTTGCTGAGTTGGAGGCCGAGGAACTTCGGCGGGGCATCGACACGTCTTTACATCCGGAAATATCACGTAGTGTGCTCATCGCCGCTGGCATCGACCTCGAAGAGGAGCAGTATGTAATGTCCCTCGTATTGTCATGAATGCGCTAATGATTTTCAGGCGTCGTTTGACCATTGCTGTGGAATCCTTAGGTATCCATGCTACTGATACACAAAAAAGCAGCATCGTGCGAATGCGGAACTCGCTACGGCGCAAAATCGACACGTGGAGACGCGCCCAAGTCCTCTACCTCCCCGCTGTCCAAAGCATTATCAATCATGCAGTGCGTGAAGTTCAAGAGAATGCCGAATGCATGAAGCTTTGGCTACCTTCCCAGCTGAGAGACAAACCATGTGATCCACACTTGCAAAATGATGAGTGGGAGTTGCGCTACACTCAAGCTCACGACACACTCGAAGAGATCCGTCAGTGCTTGCGGATTCATTGCTCTCTGCTGTCATTCAAACGAGAATGGATCCGGGGTCAAGGCGCGAACACGCGAGCTCAGAATGCTCTCGCTCGGGTCCATGGAAGGCGCACTGCGTGCGTGAAGCGATACCGGTCGACATGGGTGGCGCTCAAGGCCCTAGCTACAGCAATGGGGAAGAAAGACTGGCAGGGGAGGTTGCAGGAGCTGGCGGATAATGACATCAAGCCCCTCGTGGATCCGTTCGCTACTGGTGAAGGGAGACGTCAAGTATCTTGGATCTGGATGATGGATGGCGTTGATTGCAGTGACGAAGGTGATAATGATGGTCAGTGTTTTTATTTAATCTATATTTGCGCAAGCTGATGTGCTGCAAGGTGTCCGCATCGAGTGGTGTAAAAGCCGTGCGAGGGCACTGCGCTGGTCAGAAGAGGTGGAGTTGTTGAGGGAAGAGATGCGCAGAGTGCTTCAGTTTTTTGCCTGGCAGGCAGCGTGGTGGGAAGATCAAGGAAAGCGGCGTGTTGGAGAGTGTGCCGCGCACGCTGAAGGGTTGTATGCATATGCTGTCCGACAGGCTAACCTCCGTCGCAGGATGGCAGACGATTTTCGCATACTGTGGTCACCTTATCTTTCACCGCATGCCCTCCCACAAGCCCTCCCCATCAACCCGCCATCTCAGCTGTCTGAACTGTCGTTACCTGACCTCACCATACCCGATATTCCCTAGCCCCTAGCTTCTGCGTTGTGCCTGCCAATCTATGGTTCGTGATGGATCGGGTCTTCTGGAGCTTCTGTGTAGTGTACCTTACATACATCATTGTCCCTTACATACATTATTGATCAATGTCACCGGCTTTCATTGAATGTTGAAGCCCTTAAGTGGCCGAAGACTGCACTGGAAATCTAACCGGCTACTATACAATATGCTAGGCATCAGGAAAACCCTCCCATGTAAACTTAGAACTATTTAGCTGAATTTTCGATAATTGCACAAATTAACACAATTTAGCTCTAGGAACTATAGTCTAGCACAAGTTAATGATAATTGTCTGCAACTAGCGCAATGTTACAAAACTATGTCTGTCCAAGTATGGATTTACAAAGAACGAAGGACACTCGTCGAGAACATTAGTAGAACTCCATTCACGGGGGGCAATGGGGCCAAAATGTGGAATTAGATGTGCACTGCGATGAATGTTGCTGATTGGAACAATGCTAGCTATTCGTTCTCCGTTTTTGATGGTGCGTGAGACTTTGCGCAAGCCATGATTGCGATCAGGTGCCTGGAAAGCGGAGAACCATTCCACGTACGCAAGGTGCTTTGGAGGTCGGAAATTTGATGGAAAGAGTATAGGGATAGCTTTGGGAGGGATCGAGAAGATCAAACAGACTTGTCCAATTCGATATCCTGTATAAATGACGAGTATCAATATCATGCAATGACTGGCTCGGAGAGCTCACCTTTGATACCAAGTGTCCCACCTGTGCCATCATTAACAAATGCAGTATCGAAACGAGATGCGACACTGTCCGATGCAAATGGTCTCGAACGTCCAGGACGTGCATGTACACTATCAACTGTGGCTGGGGGATCACCCTGGCCACGAACATCAACTGACACCCACTTCACCTTGTGAAAGACGGGCAGGGTTCGAAATGGGATGTATATGTCAGCAGCTTGATCTTCGAGCTGCCTAGGCCTAATAGTAGTGTTTGTAGGAAGGGTGGCTTTCACAACGTAGCATGCGAGAGATTCACGAAAATATGTGGCGCCATATTCGTTCACAACCTTGTCCAATGTGACTGCCTTGATGCTCGGATGCTTTGACATTGTCTGAGTACGACGAAATGACATCTCCGGAGGACGAGGCTGACGACCTGGGTGATGCGCAGTGCCTGCAATGAGTCTCCATTGAATATATGTCTCGTGGCGTAGTATTTTCTCCCTCCGTTCAAGCCAGGTTGTCATTTGCGCAAACTCGTTCTTGTGGTTTGTCGAACGATACGCATCTTTAGCGAGGTCGATGTGAAGGTGTTCCGTGTATTCGGTATTGTAATTATCCGTTGTGCTGTACGTTCGAATCATATGAGCATAGTGAAGTGCGAAATGGAGTTTGGGTAGGTTAAAGGAATTCCGAATGCCAAGGTCGACAAGAATTTGCTTGTTGTCGTGGAAGAGATCAAGTGCCTCGTCCAGACAAGTCAGTGTCTCAGAACTGT